ACAGCTGGTACGATATTTCAGTAACAGATGGCCTCCCTGGCCCTGTAATCTAGTGGATAACGTCTTAACATTAAAACAATACGTATTAGGTTTCAGTTTCAATGGGGAGATCACTGTTAACTGGGACGGGGGGGGATGGAGGTACATCCAACTGGAGAGAACCTGTAGGGGGAATGGATGAAGTGCAGATGTATTGTTCCACCCGGAACCTAAGTGAATAACAATAAGCTAACAGCCACATTTATTCTGTATGGGCTGCTAATACTGTCATGGTGTGATACAGACAATGCATGCCAACGTAATATTATATATATATATATATATGATCAATTGAAAATATACGTTGGTTTCAGTGTTCGCCTTCTGCTATTACAATACTACCTAGTTGCCTGCGTTGAAGAAAGTGGAGATAGACGCGGACCGGTTGTTCATCCAAGTAGTAAGACAAATGAACGACATCACTAGAACAACATGTAAGACTTGGACTATTTCCGCTTCGATTACCATAGTTATATACTTAAATTACCAACTGGTTACTTCTGCAGAGTGAAAACAGTACAATGCCAAATAACGAGTAGTATCGTCGAAGAAGCTTAACAATAGAGTAAAAAAAAATTGAAGGACGATAAAGGAAAACTACTTGTTATTTTTTCTTTCAAATCACAGTAATCTAACTAGGCAAGTCCAGACTAGTTTGTGGAAAGAAATGGTTGAACTAAATATTTCATCAGTAGTATTACTAAGATTTCTTTTAGAAATATAACATATACATATGTGGTGTGAGCTGTCTGCTAGCCAATTTAGTAGACAGTCATTTATGTCAAAGTTTACGTCCCCAATATTGGTAGTGAGAAAATATGAACAAAGACTGATTCAACAACCAACTACAGCAAACTTTGCGTAGGCGGATACGGTTAACATATAGATGATCTGACATTCAAGAAACAGCCAAAAGTGAGAAACAACCAATCAGAAGACTGTGTTTTTCTGCTAACAATAATCTTTAGTAATATTATAGGTTTCCAGACCGTAGGTGTTACGAATTTCCTGGAATAATTTGAGCGCCGAGTCAGATTGATTCATTATAAATTATTTAAATTAATCCCAGCGTGTTAAGAAAATGAAAACAAGATTTTTCTGAACGTTTCGCCGTGTAAGCCACAGCTTCTTCAGCAGATTTATTCGGATTATAATTAATCATCAAAATATATAGTCAAATTTTTTTACATAAAATGAAGTCAGTTTATTTGAAGGTCATTTGTCTATGGACATTTTTTACCAATAGAAGTATGTTAGCTGTCCTCACATATATTTGTAATGACTAATGTCGAATTGTTGTTGTGTTTACTCTTCTATAGTTGATTTGTATGCGTGTGTGTGTGTATGTATGTTATTTGTCATATGGAAAATACGTGAATTCATATGTGATAAACGTGTCACTACATGTTTTAAAGGTCATGGAGGCTCATAGAGTGTTCGTTGTTTTTTCATTTGGCTTGATTCATAAGAGCTTGCAATATAGGAGATAAGTCTATACCTTCTTTCCTATTCACTGCATTTGATGTGGTTAAAATGTGCAAGGCTTCTGAAGTCAATCTTTCTTTATGTGAATGAAATCCTCTTCCAAGAATTTCGACATTGTCAGAATCAATCTTATGTTCGCTTTCTATCGCATGTATTGCTATAGCCGATCTTTTTTCTAGACTTCTTAATTCTACTCCATTTCTAGGTGGACGTTTCGTGCAAATACTATATATTTTGATGATTAATTATAATCCGAATAAATCTGCTGAAGAAGCTGTGACTTACACGGTGAAACGTTCAGAAAAATCTTGTTTTGATTTTCTTAACACTCTGGGATTAATTTAAATAATTTATAATGAATCTTTAGTAATGTACATGAAAATATATAAATACGTGTTAATTTCCTTAATAAACGATCTGTTGCCTGGCCCTAGTCTTCTGTTGTTACACATATACATATGTCAATACATTCTTGTTTTAGACTTCCTTTTCAGTCACACAACCTGTTATATTATAACAGCATTTACTAGTTGTTGTTTTTTAAATGTGAAGAGAAGAACTCAACATTCATCTCTCTTCAAACAACAGTCTTAAGTGTAGGAAACAAATTTAATACAGAAATAAAACATTTTTGACATACATTTTTTCACAAAAAATATAGTGGAACACAGCAAAAATAAAAACCCTACGCATATAATTCAGCAATTCTATGTATTCATGAAAACTTTTTTGTTTACAAAACTTGAGCTTATGCTGCACTGAGGGGGAAGTCAATCAATCACATATGAAACGTCTGTCTTTAAGACCTGCGTCTAAAAAACTCTACTTGAAAATAAGTAGATTTTTACATAGAAGTGTAAAACTATGTACTATTCAGTGGACGAGAATGAGTTACATAATCACATAAAATGTATAATAAAACCCTATACATAAGGGGTTACACATTTGCAGTATAATTCTTGTCACAGAATAAGATTTTAAATCCGATATATTATTATTGTTTCCTTTAGTTCCGAGAGGAACATAGGGCTTCAGCCTCATATCTCCAATGCGTTCGGTTCTCTGACAACGTTTTCACCTGGCTCCACGTCTTCCCACATGCTTTCATCTCCTCTTCACATGACTTCCTCCATGTCACTCTCACACTGACAACCAACTCGCCGCTTTCCACTTGCTGGTTTCCTCAGAATATGGCCAATCCACTTCCATTTCTTCCTGCACATTTGTTGCACAATCGGTTGCTGCTGGGTTGATTTGCTTCCGGAGATCCCTCCCTGTTGCTGATCTTTTCCGGCCATCTGATTTTGAGTAGTGTTGAGCGAAGACAGCTGTTGACGAAGGTCTGTAGTTTGTTCAATGTGCCCTTCGTGACGCGGTGCCAAGTCTCTGTCCGTTATAGTAGCACCAACTCCACACTGGAGTTGAAAATCCGGATCTTATGTTTTTATGCTGAATGCTGTTGATCTTCACACACACCTGAGAGTAATGAAAGCTTGCCTTGCCTTCCCGAGCCTCGCTTTGCTATCCTCATTAGTTCCGTCTACAGTAGTAGCTTAATCCAATAAACTCTATAATTTTAATTCACATTAAATATACTAGTTCACTGTTACTGATGTGGCGAAATATTTGTGTTACGATAAACAGTAAAACATGCCTCGTGAAACGAGGGCTGATGTATTTACTACTATTTTATTTTTTTGGGGGTTCCCGGTTTAACATAGGAGTTTCAGACTTGAGCTGTGAAGTCTTAGTAGTACTGAGGTAGCGTTGCTAGGCCTCATGGCCAACCTTCTCCTCTTTATCAGGCTTAATACCAACTAAGTTAGGTTAGGGAGTGTGTCGGCTGGGGATTATCAAACCTTTGACTATGTGTGGCATGGTTGGTGAGTAGTCTACCACTGAACCACCCAAGAGCAAACGGAGTGCGCCTGACGGGAAAGATGATGACTTTGATGATATTACTGAGTTAACTGGTCCAGATCTTATCCTCCATGTGTGAGACTTCAGTGTGTGGAAACTTATGATACTACCGATCGCACACGTTGAAGTAGATGGAGACCAGTTTGAAATCTGGACCCAATGACTACTTATTTACACAATAGCTATGTCGGTTGTTTAATATCTATGGATAAGCAGTCACTATCATTCAATCAGACAAACTTATCAATTCCATACTAGATAATTTCGCAAAATAAACTTCACTAGCAGAATGGTGCTTGTATATGTCGAATGTAACTTTAATTTCACAATTAAAGATGACTTTGAAAAAGTGTAAGTTACTGGGATAGAAATAGTATCAGTCTTATATGTAAGACGGTATTGGAAAATGGCCTCTTGTGCATTACAGAATTATACTCAACCTTAACTGAAGACATTGGTTAGTTGTACGTATATAAGCATTTAAATGAGACAATTTGTAAAATATACTTGTAATAACTGACTGACTGGCTGTTTTTAATGTGCAACTTTGCACAAAAATGCAACAGATCAAGTTGCTACACTCCACGTAGCACATAATGGCAGAAAGAAGAAAAGAAAAATCCAGGGATAACTATAATGAGCTGAAATATACGGGAGAAAGAATAGTAACATGGAAAAAATATTAAGCTTTAGTGAATCTATAGGACTGCAAACAGTGAATGCATTTGAGGTCATACCACCAACAGTTCTAAGCCATTAGTTCCCAACGTCTCGAAGACCTAAGCCAGGCAGTATACACACCTCTCTACATGGTTATTCCAAAACCAACTTTGAAAGACTTCATGGATTGATACCATGAAAGAATGAAAGAAAAGGGTATGTATGAGGCTTTCACTATACAATTCACCCCCTATAAAAGAATGAAAAAATACACAACAATCATCTCCAAAACACCGTTGACGCATATTATTTATGCATATAGTGTTTTAAAGTTTTGGTTTGCAAGGATATAATTGACTTCGAGTTTAATTACGAAGTGACTATAGTCAGAGAATCATTGAAAACCAGGGGGTACTAGAAGTACCTGAAGGTCCTGAGTTCGATCCCTGGTCGAGTAACGACTGCTTACTGATGAAGAATCCCAAAGTGGGACGAAACAGCCTTCCAGGACTCTCTGAATTCCAATGATTCTCTCTAGCTTAAATCATTTCGTAACGAATGTTGAAATTTACTATTCTGTACCTAACACTCACTGGAAAAGCAAAAGGTTATACAACAAGACTTATACAAAAATAATAATAATAATAATATCACTTACAATAGCGACAGTCATGCTGAAATGTTTCTTTAAATGAATAGTTGTACAACAAGAAAACGGACTAGTAGGTCATTTATTCGGCGTTTACATTTTAACCACCACTACAACCTTACACAAACGCACGCACGGACACACACACAGAGGGAGGGGGAGGGATACCAACATTTACACTATACCATCACAGTCTTATTACATAAAAAAGCGATTAATTTCATTCAGCATTATGAATCACACTCACTTTTTCCCAACAAGTTTAATTCCAAGCACTTTCCCCTGACGTTTACACAATTTAACATAGAATATTTCTATAGAAAGGAAGATGGGAAGGAAAGAAGAGCGGAGAAACAATGATGACAACATTTTAACAACCATATTAGATAGAATAAGTCATCTCATAATGAATGAAATAAACACCATAACAATGGAGTATTTTCGCCTTTTGAAAAAAAAGAAAACAGGCTATTTTTAAGGCTATGCTATTGCATAGATGATAGTGACCAAATCGAAAAAGATGGCAATCAAAGACACATGGTATAAGTGAATTAATCAATACATGCGTATACATATTACATGGTGTATATGTATGTATGTATGTATGTATACATAGAGATATCTTCTTTAATATAAAACAAAACAAAAATCGAAATATAACAGTTGTTAAACTTTTCTTGTTTCGCAAGATAAATTTTTTTATTATTTCAGACAGATTACAAACACATTTCCAATGAAAATGAAAGTAATGAACTCTTTAGGCTGGAATATACAACACTGTTGAGTGACTTATTTACCTACAAGTTTGAAGTCACAAATAAAAAAAAATTGTTATTTCCTAATCTATTTCAGTGAATAATTAGGTTAAAGAGTAAGAGTATAGAGGTTTATGAAATGCCTATACAAGACAGATTCATCTCCGTTAACATCAGTTCACCTACCCCACCCCCACCACCCTAGATATTGAATGAAATATATGCTTTCTATAATTCGGTGGTGATTCAATGGTTGAATGCTCGTCAACCATACTCATGGTCTAGATACGACTTCAAGTCGACTCACTCCTAAACTATGCTTAGACAGCGCAGTAAGTCCGGTAAAGAGGTAAGGTTGTATGTGAGGTTAGCCAGCCAACCAGCTTACTCTGTAAAGCATAAACACCACTACTACTGAAACTTCGATCAAGGCACTCTACTCGAACTCATGCAGCCAGGTGAGGGCTTACAGCGAGTTGTCATCTGAAGTGGTGACGACTAGTGATGTCCGTCAGGGATCCCCATTATCCCATTTCAATTCAATTTCATCATAGATGTACTAATGAATTTAACCCTAACTCAATTCAGAGACTCAGGGATTCACTTGTTACTACCAGAGAATAATCTCGTTAACTTAGAATATGCAGACGATAAAGTCCTTCTAGGCGAGGACACTGACAAAATGCAGAGTCTTCTAAACACCTTGAGCTGCAATCTTCGAGTGTTTTGCATGCGATTCGCTCCCGCCAAATGTAAGGTGATGTTACAGGACTGGACTACACTGACTCCTAGTTTAGAAATAGGGAGTGAAATGGTAGAGCACGTTGACCGCTTCACTTGTTTGGGAAATAACATCAGCCAGTGCCAACGGGATGATCTCTGACAAAATCTCAGAACGGATACAGAAGGCTAGTTTCCATATGCCAGTTTACACCGTCTCTGGTGTAGACTTGATGTCCGGCTGGCTATCGACCAAAGGGCGTGTGTACAGCTCACCAGTCCGCTCCGTCCTCCTTTATGGCTAAAGCGAGACATGGTCATTGAGAGTAGAAGACATGAAAAGATTAGCTGTCTTCAATCATAGGTGCCTGCGTTTATCTCCAGTGTGAAGTGGTATAACAAGGTGAGTAATGTTGATGTTAGGCTTCGGTGGAGTGTTAGTTAAGGAGGAGAAATCAATCGACGAGGCTGTGAAATTACACCGACTGAGATGGTCAGGACATGTGTTACGCGTGCATTCCTAGTCATCGCCTTCCTCGACGACAGGCAATGTTAGCTGACATAGGGTCAGGCTGGAAAAGAGCTAGCGGCGGTCAAACCAAGACATGGAATCAGTCCATGAAATCATTGACAGTTAGCTTGAGCCACGTAGGGAGATACAGACTGCCTGAGTGGGGTCTTCAGGATGCTAGAAACCACTGGTTGCACACAACTGATGTAGCCCGAAATCGTTCCGAATGGTGCAGATTCAATCGCTCTTTGTGATTTGCCATACTCATTAAACCCTATTGCTTTTTCATGTTACTGTTCTTCCTCCCTTACATTTCCATTAATTATCATTCCCTCAAATCTGTTTTCTGTCTTCCTATGTGTGCTACATGGAGTGTGGCATCTCGAACTGCTACACTTCTGTGCAAAGTTCTATGTTGAAACCAGCTAGCCAATTAGTCAACTAGCTGTCTTAGTTAATGTGATCGATAATTCATCTCCAACATCGTTAAACACTTCTAAGGACAAAAAACAAGGTCATGCTGTCTGATCTCATTTTAGGTTAGACATTTTGTGAAACTTCGAATAAAACTGCACTGAAGACCGTATTTAAATAACCACGGTTGCACGCCACGAAAACCTAGTTTCCTGCCAAACGTTTCACCTGCCTGTCCTTCACGGTTACCACTAACTTCATTATAACTGTAATGTCTGATCGTAAGTGGGGACATTTCTTATTCTTTTCGATCCGCTTATTCGAAAAAATAGACAAACATTTTATTGAGATCTAACGCAGTAGTGAGCTTTTGGCTTTAAAGCTCAACATCATCCCTACACCGATAAGTGCATCAGGACTAATCAAAAAAATCTCCTGACACCCGTCAACTTTTAGATTCATGTTATCGTCTAGGTGTTGCGTGTCTACACTTAAGTCTTGTATACTTGTCTTAGAGATACAACAGACATCCCAAATCTTAGATGTCAACGTTTTGGGTAGTGTAGGATCTGTTGTCCTCTCTTGCATAACATCTGGATGTTCAAAAAAGTCCAATATGATGTTCGCGAACCGGTTGAAACCAGACTTCGTCATGAAAGCAGCCAGTCGGTAGAATGTAAAACCATCATACTTGAATAAAAAGAAAAATAAGCACTGCTACATTCCAAAGTATTCACTGAATAAGAATAAAACCTGAATGGTACAGGTATACAAGATGGGTCCAGCAAAAGGGTATTCAATCTTGCACAGATGCTTATAAAGAACACGTGAGAAAACTGAAGCCAAATTTTTAAATGATGTTAATTTTGAATTATATTCTACAAACCTTCAAAATTGTCTTTGTGTTTAACACTGTAAGATAGACAGTTTGAACAAACGGAGGAGTGACTGCTATTCTTATTGTATCTCACCTTCAATGGTTTCAATATTAACACTAATGGATTGTGGATCTTAAACACAAACCCAAACTCAAACTCAACAATTAACCACTTAACACTGAAATCGTGAGTCAATATATTCCAATCCAATAGCTGAATGGAGAACATGTCTAATTCATATCCTGACAGTTCTAGACTCAGTCTTTTACAATACCGTTGGTGGGTTCTACTACGGAATGTAAGTGAAAAAGAAGTCACCGCATTTCAGAGCACTATGTCTTTCAGCGGTTTCATGACTAATGAGAAAATCTACAGTGAAACTTACCTACTCAATTAAGATAAAAGCACCACTAAGACTACCCGTATGAAAATATGTATAAACAATGATAACTAATAGACTACCTTGTTGATATTGTGGTTGAGATTGTTGAGCGTTCAGGGAAACTGGTTCACGAAAAACAGTGAATTGTACTATAGTGGACGGAGTTGTTAAAAGATGATGAGCTTCAGCATGTGTTACATGTGTCAATAAACTTCCATTTACCTATACAGAAAGGAGAGGAAAACATTTTAAATTGAACAAATTAGGTATTATGCAATCTGTAAAATAAGATCTTAAATGCTCAAAGGAAGTATCACACAAACATACCTCAAACAAAAGTGATTTCGTGTAAGTCACTGGACTTTCAACATAAAGATTATTATAGGAGAGTAAATAAAGAGCGATGAGCATAACAATGCAAAACTAAGCTTTCAGATGGTTGGAGGTAATCGGCAGGATGTCTTCAACCTAGGTTTTGTGCTTGTTGACACTCATCAGTCAGCAGGGCGTATTTTCAATCTTGAAGGAACTCATTTTCCTCCTGAGATTCGAACCGTATCACTCAGTAAGCTATTCGGACTCAGGATTGACCTCCTGTAGGACTTTAACGGTCGTTCGTTTGATGCAGACAGAATTACATCTTTTAGAGAAATCTTTATCCAAAATGGAGACCCATCACGATTCATTGACAAAAATATCAAACCAAGAATTTGGAGGAATGAAACTTCACTTGCACCCGAAAGAAACTCTACGTGAACTTGGATTTCAAGGGAGATTTAGCAACTGATATTCTCAAGAAGAAGATCATATCATCTCTGAGAACAATTTTCTTTGTAGCAACGTTAAGAATAGTGTTCTCCAGTCGCCCACTAATCTGCAGAAGCCTTAAGGACAAGATCCTGCATCTGAACACTTCTATGTGCATATATCAGTTCACCTGCTGTTGTGGAACCAGGTACATCGGTCGTTCGACAAGCACCCTGTCCAAGAGGATTTAAGAACACTATCCAGCATGGTTGCGAAAAGGTAATAGTGGTGCTATAAGGAGTGTGATAATTGAACACCTGGTTAACACTGATCATCCATCTCAACAAACGCCTCCTCCTTCAAAGTAATCTACAGAGTCAAGAATAACCTACCAAAGGCAATACAGTTTCGTCTTTTTTGTATCGTTGAAGCTCTGGCCATACACATAGAAAAACCGGAGCTGTGCATACAGAAGAGAATTGCTCAACCACTTCTATCATCATAGTAACAAATTTGTTGATTTTTGATGATCTAATTTTGTTTGTTTGCCGTTTCTTTAATTGCCTATAATTCTTGTATTCATTTGGAACCTTAAGTAATTTCGTATTCTCTACTTTGTTCTTGAATGTATCCTGAGTGCAACTCAATCATCAAACTATTCATATTATTACGCAACTCCATTTTAACAACTGTTTGTGACTACTCACCTTTGTTACCACAATAGTTTCATTAATACCCAGTTTTCTTGACCGTTTTCGTGTTACGCAACTCTACTCAAAACTTACGAATTTCCATCTGTTTAGTTAAAATACCCATAACCAACTATATTTTCGTTTGACAAACTTAATGTACACATACATAAAAAATAGTTCATATATATTTGCAATTGTACAACTAAGAAAATGAATTCGCCGAATGGAGACTCTTCGCTGAGCTATGTGTTTTGTTTTCACGAATTCTATCAGTCAAGTTTGTAATATGGCCCCCACGCTAGGTGGCTCACCATCATTGTGCACTCTAAATTGTTTTTATTAGCCTCTACCAAACAAATGAGCAGATGCATAACACTAGTTACCACCTAATATCCAATCAAAGTAAAACTAAATACAAGACCCTAGAAATATGACAATATCTCAATAATCAAACTTGTTCTCTTTTGACGTATGTTCTTACTGGCTTAAAAGACTAACTTCGTAACTTTACGTCAGTAAATCATACATTCGAAATTCACCCAATCTACTTCAGTCTAGCTAAACCAGTGGGTAGTAATCACCAGGCTTTACATATTGAGTTCAGTTCACAATACCGTGAATGAAACCAACACGCAGTATGTGGCATTATCTCATCGTTTTTGAATCAAAGTCATCATAAGAGGATGAATATGATGTCTAGGAAGCTATACTATTAACAATCTCATATCAGAAAATATATCTGTTTCGTGAGATGCTAAGAAAAAATTAACAAAGAACTTAAGTAACATTGTGATGAGAGCTGGCTGCAAGCCAAAAATTGGTAGACAGCAATTTACGTCAGTGTTCACTTCTCAAATCTTGGTCATGAGAAAAAGCAAGAACAAAGCCTAACCTTGGGGAACTCAACAACCAATCACAGCAGACTTAACGTGTGCAAATACTATTTGCAGATATATGGCTTAACCTTCTAAGAAACGGTCACAAGCAATACAGAATAACCTTTAGCAAGAAAACAACCAATTAGAAGACACAAAAATCAATGAATATCTCTTGATTTTCGCAATAAACGATTAATTGCCTGACCCTTCTTTTCTGTCGTTACAACATAAGTGAAGATTGAGCATATGAAGTCACATAAGTATTTCAAGCAGACAGAACACAATTAGATAAGTTGATGCTTTCGAAATTTGAAACTTTTTATAATATACCCCATCATTACATTAGATTAACGGATAGAATTCAGTGATGACCAATCAGTATTTACCTCAAGCAACTGATCACCAGGTCTAAGACGTCCATCAGTAGCTACTGGACCATCCAAATAGATTTCTTGTATAAGTATGCATGCCTAAAAAGAAAAACGTAAAAAGTATACTTCGGTCAATATTGTGCATGAAAACTAAAGAAAGAAAAGCCACTTCAGTAAACATCTATAAAATTCAAATACTGAACGTTCTGTATTTATTTATTTTATCCTAGTGGAGCATATGGCTTCAGTAGCACATCTTCATTTCACTTTGTTCTCTGCAACCCACTTTAGCTGGCGCTACAATTTCCCATAAGCTTTTATCGCATCTCCTCCTTGTCACTCTCAGACGCCTTACTTGTTGCTTACCTTTCAAGTTCTACCTAAAGACCTGGCGAGTGATGCCTTCTCAGAGTAAGTTCAATCCAGCTGTATTTCTTTCTGAGTATTTGTTGGGTGATAGGTTGTTGGTTGGTTTGTTTGTTTCCAGAGTCCTTTGTTACTTATCCTTTCTAGACATCTGATCTTCAATAACCAGAGAAGGCAGTTTTTGGTGAAAGTCTGAAGCCTGTCAGAAATGCTTTTCATGATGTGCTTGCCAAGTCTCAGAACAACATAGAACTAACCTGATATCCAAATCTTGTTCCTTATGCTGAGTGTCACAGGTATTTACACACTGATATCAGATTGAAGAAGGCCTATCTTGTTTTCCAGATCCTAGCTTTGCCATCCTCATCAGTGGCCCCGCCTGTAGTTGAAACGACACTGCCCAAATAATTGAGAAAAGTAATTTCTTTTCTCTCTCTCTCTCCCTTCACAGGAAATCATGCCTTCGCCGCTCCTTCTTCGATTTTGTTCATTTTCGCCTGTATTTCTTCAAGTTTGTGTGATATTAGACATAAATCATCCATGACTGTGCATTACTGAATAAGTAATCAAAACTTATATAGAAGTCATTTCAGTATTTGTTACTTTACTAGTGAAAACTAATTTCATATGACCAATATAACATACAACGAGTGTTAAAAGATAAAATGACAACTTACAACGGTGTATCAATACCACCGACAAAAGTGAAACCCAAATCTAGGCAATTAGGTGGACGACAGATTATAATTGAAACAGGAACACCTTCATATATAACTGGTGAGTCAGCTAATAAATAATTTTTAAAAAAAGAAACATTGACATTTATGCTGATGATTAATTGACAAAAGAATATCTCATACTTTAAAAGAAAATATAGTTAAGCGCTCACGAAACACTCTCAACATCTTGTAGAGAGCATACGCAGTCCGAGTTGGACAATCGATAATAGTAGAAGAAATCTACAACAGTTAGTCCAAGCCACGTAGGAAGGTGTAGACTTCCTGACTGACTGGTTAGGGTCCTCGGGACGGTAAAAGCCAATGGTTGGTGACATGGATCAAAATCGTTCTCAATGGCTGGTGCAGATGCATCCACTCCTTGTGACTTGTGATTTCAAATGAAACTGCATTGTTTGACACCTCTGTTTACTGTCTCTAATATGCATTTCTTCTACTTTCTTCTCTTGCTTTGTGTGCTACAGGGAGTGTGAAGACTTGAACTGCCGTACATATATGCAAAGTTCTATGTCAAAAACAGACAGACAGAATAGGAAACAAATCGATTATCACCTATCTTGGAGTCAATTTCTTTTCAAATCCTTGTTGGTCGTCTCATATCTTGTTGATTTCTAAGAAAATCTATCGTCTGACTTATTGCATAAATAATTTGAAACTTCATGGCATAACTCGACCTCATCACCTACAATTTATTGATTCGTGTATTCTCCCCCTTCTTCTATATTCTTACCCCTTATTCTTCCTTGGGCTTCTCAAGAAAGGATATGTAATAATACGTAGAACAATGAAGGTTGTAATTGGGGTGTTAGTAGTGTGCCTTTGACTCAACTAACTGACATTGTTGTCAATAGGCATTTCAATTCTTTCAAGAAGTTAGCTTAAGTTATCTTATCAGATACCGAACATTTTTTTCACAACCCTTTCCGTTGTATCTCTTCGGGTAAAACCAGAAAAGAAATTTCGTAAGCATCTATGAGCGCACAGTTAGACATAAAATTCAGCAATACCATATTTAGCACAGGTTTTGTGTGAAGAGAGATTAAAGTCAGATTAGAGATCATGGACCTTTTTACATCAATAAATAAACAGCAAATTATATCCAGAATCATTATTACATTTATTATTTATTATATATATTTGTTATTGATTATTCAATATATTCCACTAACTTTCAGTTTTGCGTTTCATTATTTTTATTGCATTATGTACTTTTATATATCTATGGAGGGAGCTAAATTGTTACAATATGTAAAAACGCTGAGAATTCCATTCTGTATAATTATGATTGTTTGGAATAAAGTAGTTACATTATTGTAATAAAAAGAAACTAAAATTATTCAGACCCCGCATTGTGATGTAAATACTAGTTCGCTAGCCAGTAGCTAGCCAGAAATCAGGCGGTTTGACATGATTCAGCTCCCTGAGCTGGGTCGAACCGTGTATACCGCTGATGAGCTTAGTCACAAACGAGCAAAATGGCCACTTCCATCTGGCTAGCAAGCACTAGTGGTTGATGGGAGTGGTGAACAGCTAACTACTTATCACAATCAGCCAGTAGTAAATATTTTCATGCAAATATACTTTGCGTGTACTTCTTTGTCTGATTAACTTTACCAGCCTTTCTTCACTAAAATTCCAACCCAGCTGATGTAAAACATTATGATAGAAATTAAATTTGATAAATATCTTTTTCAAGTACTGACTTTTTCTGTAGGGATTTTGTTTGATTGGTTGGAGGATTTCATCATGAGTTGACATCAGTTAGAGGACCATTAGAAAACTTGGGAGTACTAGACAGCTGTTTCGTCCTAGTTTGGAATTCTTCATCAGGGCGCACTTGTCGGGGTTCGAATCCAGGACCTTCTGGCCTCAAGGTCCCGATCTAATGGTCCATGAATTCCAACTTCTGCCAATTCATGACATAGCACGACCACTTCACAATGTCTTCTTCGATGAGTTACTGCCCCACCTGAAGAGTCCGAAACCAGGACAAAACAGTTGTCTAGTACTCCCAGGTTTTCCAATAGTTCTCTAACTGATGCCAGCTCATGATGAAATCCTCCAACCAAATACTTTATTCGACTGAAGTTCAACACGTAAATAATCGAGAAGTCTTCTTCTTACAGACAATCTCTACACCTACCTATAGGACTACTAGTTAAATAATAGTTTTGCCAAAAGTAAGCAGTATAACAAATGCAATACTAGTTAGGTATTTGAATCCTTTGTGAATCTTTCACGTTTAACGGAAATACGCAGACAAACGCCAATTTCTCAAATGGAAAAACTTTCTGAGGATGTAAGATGCAGAAATAATAAACGGGGTATATTTAAAAGGTATTGAGACTAACATTTAAGAAAACCAGACTCTCAGTCGGGTTGAATTAGGTGAAACGGGGATTCGGACCCGAACCCCATTGGCTGAATATTGAGTACTTAAGCCAATGAGCCATATTTCTTGCTTAACGACTAAGAAAACATCAAAATCAAGGCAAATACTTATACAGAGAAGTCACTTCCATTGATTTGAAGTTTAATCACGAACTGACTTCAGTTAGAGAACCATTAAAAATCAGAGGTACTGGACATGTTTCGTTCTATATATCGCGAAATGGCAGAAATTAAAATCAATGGACTACTGAATTCTTTCCCAATGACTAAATGGTTTGTAGACTTGTAGCCTGAAGGTTCTGGGTTCGTTCCCCAGTGGGGTCATATGGGTGCATACTACCAAAGACTCCTAAACTAAAGTGAAACAGCCGTTCAGTACTACTGGTTTTCAGTGCTCCTTTAATTGAAATCAGTTGATGATCGAATTGAAGTCCAAGTTTAGCTCTACGTCATAAGCCTCAATCTCATGAGAACTGGTTTATTCGCCACTCATCATAAATCGATCATGTATTATATATGGGAACTGCTAGTGCAGAAATAAGGCAGATAAAGATAAGTTGTAACTAATATTGCTCCTTTAATTCATCAACTATGCTACAAGGCACTGTTCGTACACCTGTGACACAATAGTTGACAATTGAATTCGTAAAAACAATAAACTATAATTCCTACTTAGAAGTATTTTTTTTAATTATGCCTTATAAAAATACATTTCCAATACTCAGCGCGAAATTCTGCATTACTTGTGAAGATCTATTTGTAAACGTCCGAAAGTTTGCCTACTGAACCAATAGATAATCCTTTGGAATACATATCATTTACATCAGTTTACCTAACCAAAAGCTTTCTATAACAAATAAGACGCTAATTGTATGCAGATAGTGATTACGGTGTAATAAGTAACATAAGACACATGTTAAGTGATCCACAACGGAAAACTCAGCGAGGCGTTTGGAGTAAACACAGAAGTCAGACAAGGGTGCTTATTATCACCAATGATATTCCTAATTGTGGTGGACTGGATTATGCGTCAGACTGAGTGGGAAACGAGAAGACACGGATATCCTGGACTGACCGACGTGAAGAACATAGAAGACCTGGATTTCGCGCGTGGATGATTTATGTTTGATGTCACACAAAATCAAAGACCTACGAGTGAAAACCGACAAACTGGTCGAAGAAGCAGTCAGAGAAGACAGGACTCCAGGTTAACATAGACAAGACGGAGGTTATGAAAATAACCAACCAACCAACAACACAACATCCAGCGCCAATCACCATCAATGGGAGGGATTTGAAAGAGGTTACTTCATTCACTTTTCTAGGGAGCATTGTCTCAACTACAGGAGGAACGGACGAGGATGTCAAATCGAGCGAGAATCGAGAAGGCGAGAAACACATTCACTCAACCTGAAACCAATCTGGAAATCTTCGTCACTCAGCCAGCATCAACAACAAAATTCAGTCGGATTTTCAATACAAACGTTAAGTCAGTCAGCTCTTCTATACGGATAAGAAACTTGGCGGATGGGTCAAAGAATATTTCCAACAGCCTGTTGCAGACTTTATCAACAACTGTCTTTGCTCTATACTGAAGATCAGATTGCCGGGCCGGAAAGAATCACCAACAAGAAACTATGGGAACAAACAAACAAAACAAGAACCAACCACCCAACAAATATGTAGGAAAAAGTGGAGATGGATTGGACACTCGCTCGCTGAGGAGGCCGCTGGGTGACATCGCGCGCGCGTCAGGCCATTGCTCGAGTGGAACCCGAAAGGGAAGAGACGAGTGGGACGTCAGTGCAAGGGTGACATGGAGGAGATCGTGTGAAGAGGAGTTGAAACAGTATGGACTAACATGGATGCAGGTGAAAAGTACAGCAGAAGACAGAAGCAAGTGGAGACGTGCAGTTGAAGCCCTATGTTACACTAAGAACCCAAGGGAACAATAATAATAATAAATAACATAAGAAATACACGCAGGAGACTTCATAGTCCTGCAAGCTTAGTGATAAATACTCAGACTTACACTGATCTTCAATACGCGGTAAACTGTTCTGATAGTTCGTTTTGATTATTTTATCTGATCCTCTCCGCGTAACTGATGAGAAACTATGAGGAAACTCTTTCATATATTGATTAGGATAAACAATACCAAAACTGGAGTCACTATTTGGACTGTGAAAATTCATGTTTCTTTGCTGTTGTTGCTGTTGATGTATGATCTGTGGATCCATCATCCTTTGACATCTTGTTGACTCAGATATTGTTGGTGGAAACATACCTGAATCGTGTGATTCAGTTCCAATGAAAGTAGACAAAAATACATTTTTAGATGGATTATTTTGAACTGGACGCGATGGTTTCACTCCACCACTTTGTATTAACCGTTCACGAGGTGGATGCAGCTTGATACACCAATCACGTAAATGTTCTTCAAGATTTGAACGATAAACTATACTATCACAGGTAGGTGAATTAGGACAAGCAACTAATAGTTTATCTAATAATCTAAAAGATAAAAAGAAAAACAAAAGATAGTTTAACAGCCTTGAATGAAACGTATGCACAAAAACTATTTCTATTCACTTCTGATTAGAAGTATGCATTTCGCAGAATAAACATAAAGCATAGTAATCTGATATTTGTATGTCAATAATCAATGTACAAACTTTACATACAACGCGTAAATCGACAACAATGCTGAAAAAATTAACATTTATCTAGTGGTATTGGCAGTTAATCACCAATAGTTTTGGTAATAGATAATAGAATTACTAAATCAACATTGCAAGCCCCTTTATTTGTTAGGATAGTTGGTATTATAGGCTTTTATTTATTTCTTTTTATTATTTTGTGTTCTCCAATTGAAACATAGGGCTTCAAACTTGAGCTTTGAAGTTTCAGTAGCGGCAGTGTTTGTTTATACGGGGTAGGGTAGCTAACTGTGCGCCTAACCCTCCCTTTTTCCCGGGCCTACTACCGGTTAGGCAAGGTTTAGGAGTGAGTCAGTCAGAAATTGAATCCCGGGCTACGTGTGTGCTTGATGAGCATTTTACCACTGAACCACCGACGCACATTTACTTCATGTATCTTTTAATTTGATAACAGGGTAGAAAAAGGACAAAGTAACTGAATGTACCGCCAGTTGTTTAAAAATACTTCAAAATGACCACAATTAAGCCATGAAAAGTGAAGAGTAGATCTCGAAGGCTCAGAAAAGTACACTGACTGCAGTACTTTGGTGTACGTACTTTTAAAACTGAAGAGTCCGTCAAAGGTCCAAAGACTGTTCTGTCTACTGCGGTTTAAGGCACTCAGTAGTACTGTCAACTCTCATACAACAGTCATGAGCTAGACGAAAAGCGCACAAAATCTCATATGGTTACTGACTTGCAAAATATATTAGTGCAATGTGTGCCAACTTGACCAGATATACCACTTATCTATTTGAAATAGGAAAGCCTCTTCAGAACACTAGACCGCTAGATTTCTATTACTATAGCAATGTAGGCACCAATATATACAAATAAACACATCGCCTAGATCCAGCTAGTAAATGAACCCTATAAAATAACGTGCTTTCACCAACTACAAGGGAGGTCCTGATTCGATTCCCAGCCCACAGACTCCTACACCACGCCTAGTTTACCAGCCAGTAGTAAGTAGGGAAGAGAGGGAAGGTTATGCGTATGGCTAGCAACCTCACCCCGTAAAAACAACGCGGCCACCACTGAAACTTGACAGTTTGAAGCTCCACGCTCCATTGAGAAAGCAAGGAATGAAAAAGCAGAAAAAGAAAACGTGTTCTATTTACATACGTCTATGGGTAATTTAATCCATCATATTACTTTTATTATATAATAATTTGTGCAGAATTTACTCTCATCATTTAAATACTGTCAAAACAAACTCATAACCGAAACAATCTCTTAAGTATAAGTTACAGGAGGATTCAAACAGGCAGACTCCGAACTACTGGTTTGCAGCTCAACCAGATACGAGATACCAGGCACAATTTCTGACCAGATTATCATTCCGATGTAATCATCACAAGGTAACGCCCAACTGTTATATGAGTAAACGTATGAATGAATGATCCGGAGGTCACCGATTCGAATCCCACTCGTAACAGAGAGTTTCACTTCACCTCTAATCATCATGCATTACATAAATATTACTTTATCGACCACCTAAGGCCATTTTGACAGTCTCATTGTCAATTATTTTAAACCATTTGGAGTTAAGAAATTCGAATATCATACCGATGGTGTTTATATCATGACAACTCTATTTTGAATGAAACTGACATAAAGAAGAATTCTAATCAGAAGGAATAAGTTTAAACTAACTACATGTTTTAAATATTCCTCAGTTATTGTTCCTTAATTCAACCCTTAAACACGTAAGCTTTCTTATTAACGAAGTGTTTGCAGAAGAAAATTTATATTTCTTTGGAATATGATTGTATGACAAGTACTGTATTGGTGGGAGAGAAGTGAGCTGTCTGTCTGTCTGACTGACTGACTGAGTTGAACTTTGCACAGAAGTGCAGCAGTTAAAGCTGCCACACTCTATGTAGCACACTAAGAGACGGAAAAGGAAAAGCCTCAAAAGAACTATAACGTGCATAAATGTACGGAAAAAGAAAAGTAACATGAAAAAAACTTGAGGACTAAATGTATCTGGGAGACTATAAAGAGTGAATACATCACCAATGAGGACGGTTTTGAGCCATATCATTGACGGTGAAAAGACACTGGATCTTAGTACCCGAGACACCAACCAAACAGTCTACACTCCCCTATATGGGTCAAACTAACTGTCAAAGACTTCATGGACTGATTCCAGGTTTTGGTTTGACCACCACCAACCCTTTTCCAACCCAATCCTATATCAGCTAATATTGATCGTCAAGGGAAATGGCGCCTTGACACGTGTCCTAGCTGTCCTAGCCTTGTCGATTGACTTTTCCTCCTTACCTAGCACCCTAAGCCCAAACTCAATATTACTCACTACATTATACCGCTAAACATGGGAGATAGAACGCAAACATCTGTGGTAAAAGGCAGCCAGGCTTCACATATTTCTTACTTTCAAATTTCACGTCTCATAGCTATATAGAAGAGGACGGTGGATTGTTACGCTGTACGCACGTCATTCCTTCAACAGTTGAATATCACGTCTACGCAAGCGATGACGTAAGTTAACAGCTACCATACCAGCCTTTTGTATCCGTGCTGAAATTTCGTCAGCAATCAGTCCCCTAGAGTTGATGCAACCTCCAAAACAAGTGGATTGATCAAAATGCTCAACCGCTTCACTGCCTATCTTTAAACTAGAAGTCAGTGCAGACCAGTCTTGCAGCAGCATCTTACGTTTGATGAGGTAAGTTTTATGCAGTGACCGCTGACACCAACACTTAAAACTTTTATGTTAATAAATAGTTCAAATGTAAACTGAAGTTATTCTCTGCTCTGAAAAGCCTAAGAAAACATATAAACACCATTAGCAAAATTATGATTATTACTGCTACTCAAGAATCAGCAGTTGAAAAACCTGAGTCATTGGATTCCAATAGGCATCGGCAAAAAAAAATTATAATAACTTAAATCCGATAATATTATGTACAAACAAAATAAAAATATTTTATAAACAACAGTAGTAAATACCATTACTAACTAACCGTTTAACAATATTAGAAGCTTGTTGACATTCTAAATAATTGATAATTTGTCTGTCCACAGGACAAAGAGCTTGAACAGCTAAATGATTCTTTAAACACGGCGAACAGAACGTATGACCACATTTAGTATCAAGGGGATCAATCAAAGGTTGACAACATAACTAAAATACGAAGAAACAACACGTATAAATAGGCAATACTTTATATAATGAGTTAAAATCAACGAGTTATAGATGAATACATTACAGATGGATCATAAACAAACTTAAAAACAAGCACGAATCACAAATGAAAATGGACAGGAGAATAAATGGGAGAAGTTAGATCAAACATACACGACTGTATATTAACACTAGTTACCGAGGCCTACTACGATATGACGATGTATTCAGTCTCTGTAATCTTTCATATTCCTTCTACCATTACCCATTCTGTTTCACTCTCATACTGTCAAACTCTATTGATTCTCTCCACTCATCTTCTTGTCTACCTCTGTGTGCTATTTGGAACGTGGCAACTCGAACTGCTGCACTTCGGTGCCAAGTTCTATGTTGAATCCAGACAGACAGAGACGATATGACCACTTACCAAATTCGAAGTTAAGTAGTTAGAAATTTTGGCATAACAATCACTCAGTTACCAGAGAGTTAGAATCACAGAAAACTCATCTGACTTCAGACCTTCAAGTCTGCGTTACTCAGTGCTGATGTTATGAACTATGCAAACGTAGGTTGAAATTATTTGCTCTCTCTAATCGCCAAATAGTATTTGGTATAAGTAACCATGAAAATAGAAGGAACAAACCGTGTATAAATCAACTGGAGGTTGGAAAACAATGAGTTTCTTTTATGCCTAGCAATCGAATCAGTTTCTCTGGTCGAGAAATCCTAATAGTCACAGTATTAACTATCAAAGTTGAAATTTAGTTAGATCATAGTTACCCAGTACTGGGCTGTAATTCACACTTACTGTGTGGAGTCTACCGATACTACTCACTTGCCCAGGTTGAATCAAGTGGAATGGGACTCAAACCCGGTAACCACTGACTGGAAGTTGAGTGTTTAAGCCAATGAGCCACATCTCCACAGAGAGTTATAAGCTACAATAAACCCATCTTCAAACCATTTCCATTATTCTCATATCCCAATCAATATAGTAAGCGAACACTTGAAATTAACAGTACTATTCACCAATCAAATTACATTAAACCCCATAAACCTTATAAATGGGAAACTTTCCTGAAAAAATAGGAATTTCAATAATTCTTTTTACCATCTCAATTATCTTTAAAACAACTACACCAGTCTTTAAGCGATTTATTTGCATTTACCAGAAAGGAAAGTTTAGTGAGGTAACATTCGCACTACAGTCAACATCTTAAACGCCTAGAATCGACAGTTACAAAATAACAATAAGGCGCATTTTCTTCAGCAGACTTTATGAATTACTACAAATACATAATTTAGAACTTTGACAACAGAATAGAAAATTATTAGCTCAAAGAAAACTGAGAATATTACTTGAGAATGTCACTTGATGTTTGGCAACCACCACTGGAATCCGAGACAGGTTGTGTCCTATACAGGACTCATTAGATGAATGTAATTACACCCGAGTGTGACAGTGTGGCCGCTGTGACTCCAGTGTCATTCCCACCACTAAACGATAAAAAGTTATTTACTAAACTACTGAAGTCACTTGTCAATATTTATGAATACTTGATTAAAAACTGAAAAAAGATACGACAGCAAGAGTGTGACATACAAGGGTAAGAACAAAATTGGGACTCACTGTACAGCATAAATCAGCATCCACAGTTTGTGTATAATTATATATATGAGGTGAGGTTGGATCATGTGACTGACCGCAGATACGACATAAATGTTTTACCGCAACTGTAGTTTTAGGAATACATTCCGACAATTCATTTCGAGCATTACTAGTTGGATAATTTGACTGAATACTTTCCTTGTTCAGTGATTTAGGCGACATAGACGACGTTATTGCTGTAGGTTGAACAAAACAACTAGTTTTACCAGATGATCCAATCTTCGGATGAAGTTCTGTAAAGGCAGATCCAGGCGAAGGAAATGTAGACGGTGTACAAGTGGTTGAAGTGAACTGTGGAGAGTAGGCAGATAAACCAGGTGCAATGTTTTCAGAATAGGAATAAGGCAGACTCGGTGGTTCAAAGGATGGGGATTAGTAAATGGATTAGGAGGGATGAAATTAGCTGCTTTGACAGATTTAGGTGTTGAAGATTCACAAATCATGACGTTAGTAGTAGTGTTCGACAAACTGGAACTGATAGGATTTTCCTGAAGATAAGTAAATGCAAACAATTAAAATTAAAGTGTTTAATATAACACAATAACGTATGCGAATAATCATCGTAATATTTAACTTCCACTGTAACTAGTGCATAGGTCGACAGTACTTCATCCAAAATACGAAAAACCTATTCATTATGAAATAACTTAAAAACCGATTAGAATTGTAATTTTATCTCCAAGATATATGTAAGTGCGAAATAAAATGTATATGTGCGACTTACTACCTAAAAAGACGCAATCATATTTTAATTCAGGAAATACACTTTCTAATCTAAGCGGTTTTTCACTTATTACTAAATGTCATTTAAAAATCCTTAACTAAGAAATTAGCTTAATATTATCAAAATGCACATAAGTCTTTAAAACTCACCATTTTGCTTATTTCTTTTCCAGATGTTGAGCTTAAATTATCGTATATTGCACGTTGAGATAAAATAATGTCTTCAGGAGGTTCTGGTAACAATGGTGAGCCCTTAGACACAGGAAGATCAAAACCAGGACTACTAGCAACAGTGGTATTTGTTTCACTATCTCCACCTAGACTGCCTGTACTATCATCGCAGCAGCTTCCTGTCTGCATGACTAAACTGCAAATCCAAAGAAGTTGAGTTGGGTTGTGGAACAGACAAAACAAGTGAGCCAAACCATAGGATAATCATATGCATGGTATACAATGAATTAAAGACTTCATAAGATTGTACATTGTCTATTTTCGAAGGAATCAGAAATCAAGATAATCTCTGAAGTACATCTAAAAAACAAAGTTATCAATTAAGTGCTAAATATTCGATCAAGTACTTGATATATACAGTATAATTCAAACTCATTAAAATATACTGTTCTTTGGTAATCAATCCGGTCTTTTTTCATCTTACATATTGAGCAAGTAATACTAAATTCAGTAGTAAGGCGGCACAATCTAATTCCTTTTGTGCTTGATTCACTTATCCTTTTATAAATGAATTAAACGACGAATCTGTAAGTATATTTCAAGTTCCACTATATTGCAGTCAACAGTACATTCAAATTCCTTCAGGATTAACAATTACATATAATAGATGACTGGTGATTTATTGCATCTACATATTAGGATAGAAAGCAGCGTACAAAGTCTTTAACAGGTAATCGGATATACCTTAAGTGAAGCATCTAGATATATCCAACCCACTAGATGAGCGAAATTCCTGGCATCTTTAGCCACTTTACTCTCCTTAACTAGATGTGATCAAACTCAATTTGAAGTGAAAAACATAAACCAGGATTTCTACGATTATCACTTGGAGGGTTTAGAGGAAATGGAATCTTGTCATTTTGTCTGGAAAAGATGAAAATCCACTCGACATGCATATTACGGCACTTGATAACAACCTACACCAATGATATGAAGGCGAATAATACCACCTGGTTGTCAAAACTATAATAGTTAGAGTTAAATTCAAATCCATAGCTCAACATTTGAAAATCGGATGGCTAGACCAATAAGGCCCGGTGTAGGTGGTGAGCGGAGCTAAGTTCATTTAGACTAGACCACGTAGGAAGTATAATAAACAATTGGAGAATCCAACCATCTTTTTAAACTTTCAAAATTAATGAAATCAGATAACAAACATCTGAGGCCTATCGAAGAGCTTCACATACTTGATTCTCCGATTTCTATCCCTGCACTGTCTTAAAAAAGGATTACTACAGCTTGAAAGGTAAGATTGCGGAAATGGATGGATAGACGATACCTTATAAATTACAAGCATATTGTTGCTAGTACTGAAGTTAAAATCCCGGAGATGATAATGTACGAAAAGCTATTCCAGCGTAGCATGATTTCTCTTGACAAACCTCAAATAAGAAAACTTCAGACAAGTCTACAGGTAACAGAGACTAAATACCTCCTTCACGGATCTTAATTGGTGATTCCAGGATGTACTTAAAAATTGAGCTTCAGTATAGCTAGTTGTCTACCTAAAAGGTCCGAATTGTTCAGTGATAGACTTAACACTAAATCCTGTTTCTGGACGACATTACAAAGCGATGGGCTCAGTACTTGGTTCTTTATTGTCGATTACCTACGCTCGCAAAATTTCGCATGAAGACCTGAATGAAAGAAATGTCATGAAAATTTTGCAAAGGGGGCTACGATAATATTACCAGTAAAGACTGATTGCTGGCCACTGAGTTCTTTATATAACTGAACAAATCTGGTAGGAAGGTTACAGTTTACATTGCACTGCCGAAACACCACTTCCCTCAGTCTAGATATACATTAGCCTGACAGTCAGTACGCCACAACTTAGAAACCACTTTTACTGCAAATTTTAGGTTAAGAAAACTTTACATTACGTATTAAGTAAAACTCTAATATCATCGGGTACGGAAAATTAATTTAAATATATTGGCAACCATAAAGAATGGATACCACATCCGAGGCCCAGCAAATGTCCTTAAGGAAGTGAATTAGATCGTTAATCGTTCACAACGGATTTATATATGCAGACTGGCCCCATATATTGCATAGAAGAGTCCATGAGAAACTGACTCTATATTTACGGCGAAAATATGCTTTACTTTCTCACAGATATTATTTGACATATCAAACCCATCCGCACACAAAACAATTTTGGACGGTTAACGATTTGATTGACTTTGTAGTTGAACCTTGAGTGGGGGTATCTATTCTTTATAGCTGCCAGTCATATCCCTGATAGGTCTATGATATTACATGAAAGCAGTGAGCGTTGACCAAAGAAGGATTCGGATACACTTAATAGGTTTTGAAACAGTTAAACACATGATTTCTGGGACAACTGTTATATTATAGAAATGATTCTGGTGGTTGGATTTCTTTCTTTAGTCAAAATAATGGACTCGACTTATTTCGTATTAATGCATACAAAGTTAGGACAACTCAGAAACTTAGGCTGGACATTAGTATTGAGCACATTCCTTCGGTTCCAATTATATCCATTCGTCAAGAGTTTTTGGAAGTAGGAGTATTAAAATATATAACATTAATTCAGATGGCGCTTAGGCAATAATTATTAAGAATTATGCAAGACAGGGAAACATCAAGACAAAAATAATGAATCTCAACTCAAAGCACTGGAGCCATTTCAAGAGTGATATAGCCCAATTTCAGGAAACTTGAGCATTTTTTGCCAACAACCATAGTAATTTCACTGTTCTATGAAGTCAGATTATTGTAACAATGAATAGAAGCGTTTGGAAGATTCAACACCTGAAGAACCTTTGTTAAACGGGTTCGTTTCATTCTAAACACAAACAAAAATATATTCGACAAAATGAAACTTCGCCAAAACATAGTCAAGTATACCAGAGCGTAACAACAAATGGAACAAAGCTTAACTATGTAAGGGTTCAGGGTAAACCATCACATATAACGTACAGCAACAGATTCCCCGCCTCTACTGTTTTCAGATTGAGACTTCCAATATCCAATATCCTGATTACGAGCTAGTATAAACCAGTGATTTCTTTGAGCTCGCTTCTTGATTGTGAGGTAAAGGTTCCAGATGACTGTTCAATAACACCTATTCCATCTAAAGCGTTTTGGATATATATGTATTGGTAAAACCCTTTTTCCTTGAGTCCAATTAAAGTACCTACTTCTTTTACTGCTGTTACGTGACTTCATTTGCTGACAATGTGGGTACAGTTCTCGAAATTCGATATCACTCTGAATATTGAAATTTGTGTAGAATTTAACTGACTACGTTAAGATGGTGAAACTACGGGCGCTAAATTTAGTCCATTATCTGTTTAGTTATACTATACCCTCAAAGAGAACGTATATTAGTCATTTTAGGGTAACATAAGTGATCTTCTCACGTAAAAGCTAGTAATAATTAAACGGACAAGTAGGCTGATTGCAGAATCACAGTGAGAGTAAAATCTGAAGGACTGTTATTGTACCAGCGATAGAAGCATTAGTTCGCCTACAAGCGGTTTTCACCAGCAGACGATGTTTGTGTTCCGTTTGGATTTCATGTGGTCGACATTTAATCGGAGGCAGCGTGAGTTTCACTGAATAATAATCAAGTCACTTTTATAGTATCGAATGAAATCACAGCGGCTAAAGATGCTGATAGTGTAATATAGATGCATAAAACCTCAGGCCAAAGTTGACGAAGGAAAATCCAAGTTTGGACCCACTGGTGAATAATCCATGATGGCACTGCGGTAAAGATGATTTTGATGGCTTTGAGGTTGTGTCATCACCTGCAGACAGTTCTATCTGCTTCTGATCTACTAACTTCATGTAGCTTGTAGCTCCTAAGCATGGACAAACCTGGCTCCTGCAAAGACTTTCTGTAGGTTTAATGGTGAAGACTAGATGGCCTGTCTGAAGATTGTCTTAGCACCCTATCTAAGATACCACACTATTCTTGCAGAAGTATGGAGGGACGATGTTATGGGTGTCCACTTGGGGCTACATGTAGGTTTCAAACAGTATCGAGAAAAGAACGGCAGAGAGTGCACCCAGCTGCCTGTCCATGAAGTGCAGCACTGAAGTGTAACATGAAGACACCAGCATGCCAATGTAGTTGAAGATTAAACGATCAATTCATGGTTGTTTGCTCAAATCCAACTCCATATTTTTCGCGGTAGTCATCAATACGGCAGTCATCGTCTCATTGTTCGCTGTTCGTTGGAAAGAGAAAAAAATCAGAAGTATTATCGTGATTTACTGTTATAACATTTATTCTTAGACCTTGTGCAGAATAACGTTATTGTTGGCTACATACAGGCGTAAGAATAAAGGATCCTCGAGTCGCAAATCAGTGTTCTGGTTTTTCGCGTTGGTTATCACACATTGTTTCTGAAAGTCTTCTGAGGACAGCGCCAGGTCCAGTGTAGTAAGACCTGGACATTGACAGACAGGCCTCACTACGAATCGACATTCCTAAAAGTGATAAAGGTTAAATTCACCTACATAAATCGAGCATGTACATAATTAGCATTCATGACCGTATATGACTTTATAATTCGATAAATTCAGTCATCATATTTCACACTTCTTTTGAAATGTGGAGTACATTAATGGTACAGAAAATATCATGAATATTACGCATATATAATATCATTGACTGCCAGTAATTGTGCCATCATATTAAAGGAATACATTTAACAATACTTTGTTAGTTGTTTGGGGGACAAAAATATTAGAAAGAAACATGCACACTGAATACAAGTTCCACGATGTCGTCTCACTACAAGTATACGATGTCTCATTTGTCTATTTGTCCTCTGCATGTGGGCGTAGCCACATACCGGCATGTGAAAAAGGCTGTCACTGTTAACAATTTATACGGTCCTTACTTTTTGAAAGTCTCCCAGTGCATTTGCAGCTGCTTACATGTGTGCTGCTTCCGCTGGCACGAATTAACTGCGACGAACTCCTAAAAAGGCTTCGTTAAAAAAGTATATTTTGCCACAGCCTGTCAGGGTCAGTTCGCAAGAAATTCAGAATATTAGACTATCTGAGTGAGAAACATCGAAGGAGAAAATATTGTACGTAAAACCGTAACTCGAGAAATGCATTGGGACCCACGGGAACGTAGTTAGTGA